AATAAAAAATATATTTTATTAACTTAAATTATAATTTAATCTTTGCAAACAAGTGTCAATTCGACCTACGACGAATATCCAACTCTTTATATTATGTCAATATGTCCAATGATGCAAGCACATATATACATCAACTAAGGGCTCGTTTGACATGCTTTTTACTTTTGCTTTTGCTTTTGCTTTTGCTTCCTGTAGAAAAACTTTCGGAGAAACCTATTGTTTGAAAACTAATTTTTAAAAGAGTTTTTTATTCCATAAGTTCTTTTATAGGAGGTCACATTAGGCTAAACTTCCTCTAAAAATTATTTTAAATAAAAAACATTTTCATAAAATTAGTCAAATGGATCCAATAACAATTTTTAGATTTTAAAAGCTCCTTACGACTTTTGAAAAGTCATGTCAATCAGGTCTTAAATATATTCTTCACATGTGCTTATAAATACTTGTTAAAAATCAAATTATTTTTTTATTCACATATTTAGCGAATTTCACAAGTCATACTTGTTTGTATTTTTTTTATAAATACTGGACAAACATATGTCGAGTCTCGTTTCGATTTGACCTCAGCCAATGGCTTAGCTCCGTAGTATTGATTGATTGCTTCATAGTAACCATCTTGACTATGCTTGCCCATTTGTTCTTCTTCTATGTACTTGTTTCGTAGTGTTTTTAAGTTCTCACAAAGAGTAAATTCACAAAATATGTGAATAATAATTAAATGTTTATTGCTAGTCCTATAAAATATGTGAATAAAAAATATGTTTTATTATCCTAAATTATAATTTAATCTTCAAAAACATCATGTGTCTATTCGACCTACAACGAATATCCAACTCTTCATGTTATATCAATATGTCCGGTGATGTAAGCACATTTATACATCAACTAGGGGCTCGTTTAGCATATCTTTTATTTTTGCTTTTGCTTCTTGTATAAAAACTTTCAAAGATTGCTATTGTTTGAAAATTAGTTTTTAAAATAGTTTTCTATTCCAGAAGTTCTTTATAGGAGGTCACATTGGATCAAACTTCCTCTAAAAGTTATTTTAATTAGAAAAAAAAAACTTTCATAAAATTAGTCAAACGGATCCAATAACAGTTTTCAGATTTTAAAAGCTCCTTGTAACTTTTAAAAAGTCATATCAAACATGTTCTAAATATATTCTTCACAAGTGCTTATAAATACTTGTTAAAAATCAAATTATTTTTATATCTACATATTTAGCGAATTTCACAAGTCATACTTGTTTCTATTTATTTATAAATACTTGACAAACATACATCGAGTCTGGTCTCGGTTTGGCAAACATAATAAGTCTTCTTGAGCAATCAAACATAACTTTCAATAATAGATTTCAATTATTAAACAAGTATTATACACTTGTTGATAATTTATTTTTATAAATTTTATTTAGAGGGGTCCTATTTGAAAACCATTAAAATGAGTTTAAAAAAAAATAAAATTCAAAAAGTGATTTTGAATAATATATGGTTAAAAAAGTTGAAAATTTACGTGCAAAATAATTTATTATGAGAATGTGTGGTTAAAAATAAATTTGAGAGACCAAATTATTTTAATAACCATTATTTTTAAACTATTTTTTTACATACTCATTTTTAATTATATATTTACTTAATAAAATATTCTATACGTAAATTCAAAATTTTTCATATTTTTAATCATACATTTTACTAAAAAATACTATTCAAAACCGTGTTTTTACCATTTATCGATTGTCAAATAGGCGCTAAAGAGTATTATAATTAAAAAAGTTCAAACTTTGAACAAAGCCTCCCTTTGATCTTCATTCTCCTTCTCATTCATTATCTCTCTTATTTTTAATCACACAATCTTTTATAAAATAATATTAAACATAAATAAGAAACTTTTCAATTTTTTTTCGACCATGTTTTTTTCAAAAAAAATATTATTCTAATTATTAAAATTTGAATAGAATAGGAGCAAACATGGACAAAATATCTATTAGAATTGAATAAAATTGGACGTTCAGGTGCCTATTTGGCACCCCCGACGTCCAGCACGTCCCATTAGAATTTCATCCAACCTTTCTATGTACCTACACAGGCCTATGAGTAAAAATCTGAACTGCAGCCCCCCGGGGCACATCCAAGTTGTCGGAACAATCACATTGGGGGGCTCTGGAACCAAGCGTGGGGAGTTCGATTCCTGGTGGGAACTTTTGATCCAATAAAGGAGGAATTATTGGTGGATTAATCACTATGGAGGAAGGCTCCCTTTGGGGAAGGAGTAAAAGCCGTGTGGGAACCTGGGAACCAACAAGGGCACATCCCGCGATTTATTTCCCTGAGCTGCTGAGGGGCCGGAGGTTGAGGGATGAAGATATAGTCTGGCGCAAGCTGGGATACCTCGTTAAAAAAAAAAAAAAAAAAAATCTGAACTGCAACATTTCCCAGGTTCAAGGCTCAGCTATTATATAACGGCTTCCAAGCTGAAGCTAGCAATTTACACAAAACCATCACCAATTGGGGCAGATTAGGATTGAAAATTTTGATGAATCAACTTAGACTCTGTCTTGTAGAAATTTTAATTCAAATTAATTTTAATTATATATTTTATAGAATTCATAGTTTTTAATTCCAGTCGAATGGAAATTAGAAATGAGACGCAATGGCTCGACGGAAGTGGCTCTACATATCAGCTTACAAAGAGGAAAGATGGCTCGAGAAAGTGGAGTTGGGAGAAGTGGTCGGGATAGGGTAGTGATAGTGGTAGGCGTAGTGAGTCATCAAAGTCTCCCCAAAAGCCAGGGCTGCCAATTGATAGGGATTGATTGGAATATATCATTTGTTTTCTTCCTCCCCCATCCCCATCTTCCTTGTCATCTCCATTTTCTTTTATTACCTCCATTTACTCTTTTACCCTTCAACTTTTGACCAATTTTACTTTACCTCTCTACCGTATCCTTGATGATGATATTTGTTACCGAATCCTTGATGATGATATTTGTTACCGATTTCCATTGAAATTACTGTCCCACCCTTTTATGAAAGAATTGGATATAAGGGGGTGTTTGATGGTCATTTTTATGTAAAAATGTATTTTAAAATAGTAAATTGAAGTAAAATATGTGGTTGAAAAATAAGAATTTTTTTTATGTACGTGTAATATTATTTTAATAAAGAATGTGTGATTAAAAAGAAGAAAGAGAAAAATGTATTTTGAAAAAAATGACTACCAAACGGGGTTTAAAAATGATATAAAAAGATCGATGACTTAATAGAAATAAATGATGCTAATTGTTAAAGCTTCCATTTATTCATGAAGGCAAAGACATATCCTGGATTTTAGAGCACGTTTGACGAAAGTGGCCTTCCGTAAATTGGTCAAATATACTTTTATTTACATATTTTTGTAAGATCCATAATTTATTATCAACATATTTCATGAACTTATAATTTATAAGCATTTAAGAACACTCCCAAACATGAATTTAATGCTTGGTAAACATTGATTATGTTACGATAATTGATATGACTACGTAAAAAAGGTTATTTATCAATCAATGCTTGTTTTTTTCATCGATGACGTGAATGAGTGTAGTATTTTTAAGATTAATGAGAAAGAGGAAATGTAATTTCTCAATTTAGATAAACATAAGCTAGAACAAAATAGGATCGATCAAATTAAGTAGTACTACGAACAAGATTTTAAAATCAAACGACAATTTATGTACTACAAGAATGAAGGGTATATTAGTAACTTGACAATATAAGTTTGGGAAAATTGCAGCCGAGGTACCAAACCTTTCGTTTATTAGCAGACTTTGCCCAAACCTTTAGTTTGTACCACCCACAGTCCCAAACTTTTCAAAAATATGCACCGGGGGTTCAAATGGATGGAAATCGTCCATTTGACCGTTAGTTGATCAATAAAATTGAATTTTGACCAATTTTTTACCAACTTAAAATGGTAGAAAGGTAAATTTGCTATTTAATTTTATAATAAAACAAATAAATTAATATACCAAATAAAAATAAAAGAAACCACTATTCATCTTCTTCTTCCCCCACTCCACCCCTGGTGTAATTTTCCCAATAAAAAAACTGGAATTTGATGCTCATTTGCTTTCTACTCTACGTTCTAGGGCTCGTCTCTATTGCTTGTTGCGCTTGGATCTATCACATTCTCGATAGAAGTGCCACCGTTCCACCGTTGTATCAGGTGGCTACCAGTGAAGGCCTGAAGAAGAAGGTCGCAAAATTGTTCCTGAAGCTGACCCACGTTGCCAACGACGACAAGATCGAGAAGTTATCCGACTGGGCAATTTGTTTGTCAGAGTCCATCGTTGGATTCGAGTTTCAAGTGCTTTCGCAGGGCGACCATGGCTTCCATGTTACTTGCATTGACAAGTGGCTTGAATTTACTCCTCTTGCCGCCAGATTTTTGTGGTGAAACAATGTTAGGACTGCAGCAGCTTGACAACGAGATCTTAAACAAAGATTCGAAAATCGAGCGGTGCAGGAAAAATATTGAGTGCTTAGAAAGCAAATGAGCATTAAATTCCAAATTTTTTTATTGGAAAAATTGCACCAGGGGCGGGGCGAGGCGGGGCGGGGATGGGGGAAGAAGAAGATGAATAGTAGTTTTTTTTTTTTAATTTGGTATATTAGTTTATTTGTTTTATTATAGAATTAAATAACAAATTTACATTTCTACCCTTTTAAATTGGTTAAAAATTGGTCAAAATTCAACTTTATTGGTCAACTAACGGTCAAACGGATGGTTTTCATCCATTTGAATCCCCGGTGCATATTTTTGAAAGGTTTGGGACTGTGGTTAGTACAAACTAAAAATTTGAGCAAAATTTGCTAATAAACGAAAAGTTTGGTACCTCGGCTGCAATTTTCTCGATAAGTTTCAGTCCGAGAATCATGTACCATAAGAATAAAGGGTATATTAGTAACTTGACAATATAAGTTTCATCCCAACAAGAAACGATCCCTTGCACTCAGCCTGTTATAATCCCCTTCAAGCTCCCCTTCCAATGGAAGAATCCTTTCACTTCCCTCTAAAACCATCCCTTTCTCTTTCTAGTTTTCAACTTTTCATAACTTAAGATTCATCTGTTTCTCTCTCCTTCTGTTTAGTGATGTGTGTGAACCCTCGTAGCTTTCCCACATCAACATTATTCTCATAATCGCTTTTTTTTTTCTTTTTTTTTTTTTGCCATAAGCCATAGATTTTCACCTTTTTTTTATTTTTATTTTCCAACTCATTCTTTCTTTTGCCAAAAAGTATGTTACTGTGACTTCCCACAAAAAAATCATCTTTCCAGAAAGCTGAAGGTATGGAGGATCCCAGAGTTTGTGATGGTTCAAATATGAATAATGTTCTGTTCAAGAATGAAAAGCTCCTTTGCTCTTCTGAAGTTCTTGATTCTCTCTGGATTACCGATTCTTCCCCTTCTTTTCATGGTAATTATTTTATTTTCCCTTTAATGATTTTGAATTTAGTACTTTGTTTAAAAGAGGCCAATTTTTTGTTTTGGGTTTTGTGTTAATTGTTTCTAAAGATTTCAATTTTAACTGGGTTTATCTTTGAGAGTTTGGTTGGTACTTTGCAGTAATTATGTTATTTGAGTTGCTTTTGATATACCTTTGGGAATTTGAGATCCACATTATTATAATGCAGATTCTAAAGTATTGGACTGTATTATGGAAGAAAACGAAGTTAAATTTTTGTAAATTTTCGTGCAGTGGATTTTATAGTGTTGGATAGTGTTAAGGAAGAAAACGAAGTTAAGATTTTGTAGATTTTTGCGCGGTGGGTTGTTCAGTATTGTACAGAATAAAGAAAGAAAGAAGAGCTAAATTTCAATATATTGTGATTTTCAGTCCTCAAGAAAGGGTCAATTCTCTTTATGATAATATGTGAATTCGGGCAATTAGTTTTAGTTGAAGAATCTGATAAAATTTTGTCTGGTTTCTCTGTTTTAGGATCTACATCCATGGTTAACTTCGAAAATGCAGAGAGTTCATTTTTCCCACAGATTGATAAAAAAGAAAATGGCAATGATGATTACGATGGATGCTTTCACCAGTCGGAGAAGAAAAGGCGGCTCACGCCCGATCAGGTTCAGTTTCTTGAGAAAAGTTTTGAGGTGGAAAATAAGCTCGAACCAGAGAGAAAGCTCCAGCTTGCCAAAGAACTTGGACTGCAACCTAGGCAAGTTGCAATTTGGTTCCAAAACCGTCGAGCCCGTTACAAAACGAAGAACTTGGAGAAAGAGTATGATTCTTTGAAACAAAGCTATGATAAACTTAAGGCAGATTATGACAGCCATTTCATAGAGAATGAGAAACTGAAAATTGAGGTACACTTTATTGCTTGGTTAAAAAAATTCATTTTACCCTTTTGGTACTAATTATTTCGTTTGTGAATAGGTCCGAATGCTCACTGAGAAGTTGCTTTCGAGGGATAAAGTTAAGCGAAAACCGGAACCTTTGGATAATGCAGAACCAAAGAAGCCAAATTTAGGCCATGTCTCTCCAATAATACCAGATGCTAGTTCTGCGAAAAGTGATGTTTCTGACTCGGACAGTTTGCATTACACCGATCGACCCAATTCAGCATTGCTTGAACCCGTTGATTCTTCTCAGGTTTTTGAGCACGACCCTTCTGACTTTTCTCAAGATGAAGATGAGAGTTTAAGCAGAAGTCTTCTTCTGTCATTCCCAAAAATTGAAGCTGAATGTTATGATGATCTACAACCAAATCCATGCAATCTGGGATTCCCTGTTGAAGCTCAAGGCACATGGTTCTGGCCTTATTGAGTTTCAAATTGCCACAATTATGTCTTTTTGTTTACAACTTCATCTCATGTTATGCAGTAATCTCTTGTGAATAAGATTAGAATCAATAATTAAGCCTTTTGGTTTCTTCCCGGATGTTCATTACCGGCCTCGACGTTTGCTCGAAAAAATACAAGGCTGTGCCTTTCTCAGTTGAGAATTATGAATTTGAATGAGCTTTTGCACTTATTTTGCATATAAGTAACTTAAAAGTAATTTTGACACTCACAAACAATGAATCTTTCTAAGATACGTTCGTAATAAATCGTAAGCGTGTGCTCGCAAGTTCAGGGCAACAAATTTGCGCTTCTAATAGCATGGTATCAAAGAATCTACCTTGAATTTGATACTTCCTATAGGAAAAGCTGATATTCTATGAAATAATACCCCATCAAGGAACATAAAAAATTGACATTTATTTCTTTTAATCAATCTTCTTTATTTTGCATCCATTTTTCAAGCTAAGAACATTTAAAAAATGAAATTAAAAAGAGAGGTGATAACATAGTTTGAATCCCTAACCAATAGAAGACAGAAAGGTGGCCTTCAAAGTCAATTTTTTGAAGAGTTTACTTCAATTTTCTTCCATAGGCAATGACTTTTTTAATCTTGGATGCTGACATTTTGTCATCCAATAATAAAAAATTGCAGGATTGTGAACTGTACCAATTTTTAAAATTGTTTGGAAGAATCAAGATCTGACATGAATATCTTCTTGCTGATGAAATGAAGTTACATGTGTTATCTGCTGTGCCCAAACATTAGAAGTTTCTTAACTTATAATGATCTAATTATTTTAATCATTCGATTTTTATTTTTGAATACATTACCTTTCCAGGTAGCTTGAAGTGATCAAAGTAGACTACAAGATTATGTTCATGTGAGAAATTTGAGTAGATTATTGTTTATATTAAATGAAAACGTAAACAACTCAAATAAAATGTAGAGGAGCCGCCCTCTTTAAGGAAATTCAAATGTGAATATAGTGTCTTAATATTTGACAAGAGTTAGTAATCCAAATGATCATTGAATTTTGTAAAAGGTTTTCATCAGATCAATGAACTTTAAAAATCACCAATGTCATCACTAAACTTTGCAAAAGGTTTACATGGGGTCACTAAACTTTAAAAATAACTCCATTCGTTGCTGAACTTGTCAAAAAATTTCCACGAGATCATCGAACTTTGCAAAAATCTTTCCCATGGTTCACTGAGGTGATGAATGAGATAATTTTTAAAGTTCAGGGAAATCTTTTGCAAAGTTTTGTGATGACTTGGGTAATTTTTAAAGTTTAGTGACCATTTGGATTATTAACTCTATTCCACAAAAACTCCATAACATATTATAGTCCAATAGGTCAAGTCATATTTTGGTAGTTCTGATATAAATGTGTAGAAAGTTATAGCAAAAAACTCTTCTACTACACAGTTCAGCAAATATGAATTGTTGCTTTTCAAAGTTTTAATGCATGTTATGTATCTTTCAATGATAGGCCACTAAATTTAATTGCTTTTTACTTTTTTTTTTCCTTTCAAATTTTAATTCATCAATTTGTTCTTCGAGAACAAACACACTATACAATTAAGGATACACGTACATGTTTAGCTTACCCGAGAAAGTATTGTTCATTAGATTGGATCATTTGAACATGATTGATAATTATGGGATATTCAATATTTTAGTTGGTAGAATTTGAATGATCTAGAATTGATTTCGAAACGGTTGATAGAATTCATTATTATTGATTTAATTACAACTAAAAAGTTTTTATTAAAGATGCATATATAAAGTTATTCACTAAATAAAATTAGCAAAAAAATAATAATATTATTTTTATCAACTTATTTAATGCATCATGGGTCTCCAATAATTGTCTTGTAGCTGCAAAAGTGATTGCTAGCAAACTGCACGCGTTACTTTCTTCATATTAACACGGCTGAGATCAAGAAAAGGAAATTTGTATTAGAACAAAAAAATTTATGTTTTTTTAAATATATTTATAAATTTATAATTTTTTTTAAATATATCAAGATTTTCACATACTCATAGGATCGTTTGGTATAAACAACTGCTTCTGAAATTAAGAAATTGTTTATGAACATATTTGAATAATTTTTTTAAAATACTTTGTGTGACTAGAAGAATTTTTAGATAAAGTTGATTTAAAGTAGCTTTCTCAACAAATTTCTTTGCAAGAAGTAGAAGCTTAATATTTAATATTATTAAAATAAGAAAAAAAATACATATACCAGAAAATCAGCAAAAGCAGCTCAATTTATTGATATAAAGTGATATTCTAAGGAAATGTTTTCGACACGTTGTAACTTGAACATGGTGGCTTCATATCCACCGTCCACTTACCCCAAACAAGTCTTCGTCAAACATGCCACGAAATCCAAAGGAAGCGTACACCACGGAACCTCTGAAGCCCATGGGCCCACTCGGTCAATTGACAGTGACCGGGCCAGCAACTGGCGGGTCATATAAGGTGAATGGGCCAAAAAATGATGGGGCCCACTTAACTTTCACTTATACCATTCCAGGGGGGTTCAGATAAGATGTATATGAGTAAAGGTCTTGTACTCATTACTGGGCCCACTGCATTTTGGACTCAGTCTTTGTGATTAGGATTGGGCCTTTGTTTTCCACTTGACGCGACTATTTTCTTTTACTTTTTCTTTGCTATTTATAGTCACTCACTATCGCAATCGATATATGTATTTATTACACATGTGACGGTAAGTGATTTGATATGTGTGGCAAGAAAAAACTACCAAATTAATACATTAACCACAAACCGTTAAGTAGGATGCCACGTATGACAACTATCGCAGTGAGTCACTGTAAATAGCATTATTCTTTTCTTTTTGTAATTTAATGACAAAAATGTAGGTAGGGTTGTGGGTGGCACTAATACGTCGAATTAACGATCGGTCGACATTGGATTTGGTGTGAAGTAATTGCAGGTAAATTAGAGTTGGGGCTTCCAACCTTTCAAGGTATAGTTATGGAACTCCAATCTTCGAAAGTAATTTTTGATTCATAATTTATTTAAATATGTGAATTGATTAATACTATGTAGTCACATTAGGGTTGTAACCCTAATCTAAGTGGCATTAGATAATGGTATAAATGAAAGGTGAAATTAAACGAGTTATTTAATTTCACCTATCAATTGATGTCACATTAGCGTTACCTAAATTGAGGTTGCAACCCTGATTTGACTAAATAGCATTATTCATGTGAATTAGGGTCTACATAATGAATTCCATTTTTTGGACGTTCATATCCTGACGTTTTTCATTTGCATTCAATTTAAATCATAAATTTTAAGTTGTTTGACAATCTTATCCTTTAACAATAAGTCGTGCAAAAGTTACTTGTAATTTTAATTAACTAAGGGCCTGTTCCACTATTTTTGTGTGTTTGATTGAAAGAAATTTGAATGGAATTTGTTTTCCAACATTCTTCCACACATGTGCCATTTCCATGGTTTTGTGAAAAATCAAATTAGTTTTTTAGCTTTTTTTTTTTTTTTTTTTTTTTTTTTTTTAAAATTTTTTTTTTTTCTTTTTTTTTTTTTTTTTTTTTTGGACAATTGGAACAATTTTTGTTCGTTTAGTTGACAAATTTCATAAAAAATAAAGTCAAATGAACACCAAAAGATAGAAAATTTCAACATTTTTCAGGCAAAAAATTATATCGATCAAACAAATTAATTAACAATTCCCGAAAAAATAAATTCTAGGCTATTCAATTCATTGAAACGTGTTTTCTTTCCACCCAAATTCTATTATTGCAATCAAAGTGTAACTTAGACAGCATCTATAAGTTTTGAGAATAAAACTTTTTTAAGTATTTCAATTGACTTTTATTTTTAACAATGATGATGTGTTTGATTGCGAGCATGAAATTTACATGTAAAGAAAATAAATTCTAGACAATTCAATTACCTAGAACTTATTTATTGAAAATGTGTTTGATTCATTTAGTTTTCAATTTAAAAAATATTATACTTGTTAATTTTTTATTGATGGGTGAATGAGAGATAGTGAATGATAGAAAAGGAAAAGAAAGAGCGAATTACCTGAAAAATAAAAATCACTCCTCTTTAAAGAAATATTTTCCTTATTTTTGAGGACAATATGATCACATGACCAAAAGTTGAAAAATAGTTTTCATGAAAAAATTGTTAATCTAACACACCGGAAGTAGGAATTTGAGATAGAAAATAAAACCAATCAAACACTCTCTACAATTTTTTTCGAGGAAAATATTTTTCAGCTTTTGGCCACGTGATTATATTTTCTTCAAAAATAAAGAAAATATTTTCTTTATGAATGATTGGTTATTACTTTCCAAGTAATTCAATATCTCTATCCACCCTCTCATTTATCCACAAAAAAAGGACAAATATAATAGTTTTTAAGTTGAAAACTAAATCAATCAAACATATTTTATTAATAATTTCTATATAAATAAGTTCTAGACGATTGAATTGTCTAAAATGTATTTTCTTTCCATGTAAATTCTATACTCGCATTTGATTGACTTTATTTTCTAAGAAAACTATCATTTTTTTTAATCCAAATTTCTACTTTGGGGTTCTTGGTTGACAATTTTTTCTAGAAAAAAATATTTTTTTTTTTTTTTTTACTTTTGATCATGTAATCGTATTTTCCTCAAAAATAAAGATAACATTTTCTTTTAAGGAGATGTGTTTTTGATTTTCTATATAATTCAATCTCTTATATTCTCTCCCTCTCTCTCTCACACACGCACGAACACACGTACATATACCCACCAATAAATGATGAACAAATATTTACAGTTTTTTTTGCCATTTCACCCCTCGCTTGGTATAGTATTTTCTAAGTTCTAAACTAAATTAATCAAACACATTTAATTAATAATTTTCATACAAATAACTGTTTAAAATTTATTTTTCTTTCCATGCAAATTTATTCTCGCAATTAAACAAACCTTTAATTTTACAACCTCTAAAAATATTTATTATTTTTTATATCTTTTATTTCCATTAGTTTCACTTTAAATTATTATATTATTTTCTTCCATTAAAATAATTTGAATGTATTTAATTATAGAGAGTGAGTTTGACTCTCCTATTTTGGATTATTTTTGGTGTACATGTACACCAAGAAT